TTGTTGGCGAAAACCAGTACAATCTTCGGGCTACATAAATGCAATAAGTGACATAAATTCAAATTTCAGGCGGACGGCAAAGCCTGATTTTTAAAGTATTCCGGCTGCTAAAAGAAAATTTACAGCAAATTTCGACCAAAACGGCTAAATGCGGTTTTTAAGCAAGAGAAAACAATGTCATAAAAATATATAAAAACTCCCGGAATTATGGGTTCATTAGCATCCTGCTATATATCGATACCGCCAGTACGATTAACAATCACCTGTAAATTCTCCGGATTTAGATGGAGTAGTCGAACCGTCCTCTTGTTTCTAATAGCCAAGGGGACCGTTTAAGCAGGTCAAGACTCCACAAGTACAAGTATTTTAGAACGTGCAGTGCATACTACGCTGTCAGAAGAAACTGTGCAAATGCGTAGTGCAAATCCGAAGAATTTAACGTGAATGTCAGAGAAACTTGTCCTTCTTCCAACAAAAATGGTTTTACGCAGTACAGATCTTTTACTATTCAATCGGCCGTTTCGCCTTCCATAACGGAAGCAATTATCAGGTTTTTAATGAAAATATCGGTCCTGCGGGTTTAACGTCAATTTGTCAAACCTAAAACCGCTTTTGTTCAAGATGTGGATGAGCCTGAATTCAGTCGCTGCGTAAACTTCTGAAGATAATATCAGAGAAACGGGCGGATTTCTGCGCATTAATATCTAAATTTTCCTTATTATTTTCTTGTAAAATTTGTTTCAGCAAACGGATATGCCTCGGAAGTGTACAGTAAGCGATAAAATGTCATTCGGTTACTTCTGAAAGAGCACCCACTAACGTCTGAAGAACGACGTAGTTGGGAGGGGCCAACGCACTGACGAAAGTTCGTGTGTCTGAATCTCGGTCGCGCCAGCGTGTGCATCATCCTTTCGAAGAATATGAATAAGCATCCCTATGTGGAAAGGAAAGAGGAAACTACACGCGACAGCAGTCACCAAGACATACGCAGTGCTTTCAGAAAACTGTGTACTCAGGACGACTGCAGCGGCATGTAGCACAGTTTGCACACAAGCAACAAATCATGAACTTATAAGGGAGACGTGCACCTAAACGGCTACAAACTTTCCTCCTTTCCTTATGAAGGTCGAAAAACACTCTAAGCAAAAACAAAATGCGGCGCTGACCGACTTGAGTTAGGTACAGGAATGCTGCAACGCAGCAAGTATAATCGAAAATGAGAGAATGAGTGTTTGGAAAGAAGAAATTCCATCATCCCTGCAATGAATAAAAAATACAATCCAATATACCGGTAAATAAAGCACTGTTGCAACGAATGCGGGCTGAAGTACTTTTGAAATAATTTGAACAAGTGAGAGCGTAGAAGTTTGTTCTTTCGGAGTAGCAGGTTGTCTAAAATGTAGTAAATCAGAAAGGTATAAGAATTGATTTTATGCGGTTGATCGTCAAAACG